TTAATAGACTTTTCACTCATTTCCTCCATGTCTGCAGTTATCTTTCACTAGTTGCATTCACTCGTTTTCCAAAGTCATCTTGAATGTTGAATTTTCAATACAGGATGAAAAGTAATAAATAGGTTACTTTTAGAAAGTGACCTATCTTTTAATTAAAGCATTAGTGAATTTATTGTGTGTGATTATTAATTAACTTTTTCAAAATTCATTATTCATAAATACCTTGAGATGCTTTTAATTGGGTTTATATAACCCTCAAATAATGTGTGGTAATATGCTAAAGTCACACACAGACTTAAACATTCAGCACGTGAATCACAACAATGGTAACAATTCAATTTCATTTATTTTCATTAATTGTAACAATAACCATTTTATTTGCTCTTTTTGTTGTGCTACTACTGACACAAGACAGCAAATTAAATTGGCAAATAAAATTAACAACTGTAAAACAATGCAACTGCATAATTTATTCATGCCGCAATGCACTCTGGGAGTCAGTGAGTAACTATACTAAGTCATGAGTAAACCTAAACGAAAGGATCAAGTACCCCCTACAGTTCTTTTTTAGTTACTAGAACTCTCGTGTAAGTAAACTATACTAACTAAGCATTTGTCAGTACAACATACTATTCCTATTTCACTTTACTTAGTTTTTTCAAGGCAATCAGTTTGCATGCTGTTTTTAAGTAAGCCCAACTAATTAGATTTTACAGTGTATTACTATGTTTTATGGTTTTATGGTTCTCTGTTTGGGACCAAATATTTAATTCTCCTACATCAGCCTTGAACTTTTTAAACAAGCATATGGCAGAGCGCTGGTAATCCCAGCCTGCTTCAATCCGCTTGAGTAGACTCAACATCTGACACCACCAGAAATCTGCTCCAGTTATTTTACAGGGAATGTGGAAGTTGTTCAGACTGGCATCACATAACATCACACATGTACTGCACATGGGCTAAATGTCCTGGTTAGGTGTTGCCTCATCTACTGTAACTGTGTGATAGTAGGTAAGTTACTTAAGACAAATAGGCTAACAGCTCAAGACACAAACAACCTGAAGAACATGGCCTGTGTGACACCTGCTCTCAGCATATGCCATGACTCAATCCAACACACACGGAAACTATGACACACAACTTTCTAGAAACTGAATAATGACTGAATTATTATGAGGTCATAATTAAAAACAAATGGATACTGTAAAGCTCCTTTTGTCTAAGCTACTAAAAATACATTCAAATGCAATTACTATCAAAAAGATTTAGACCTATGATGAACATTATTAGGCCTATATATTTATTTTTTCTTTAAAAAACAGTAACGCAATTATGTTATAGAATATTCTAGATTATTATTGTTATTTTATTCGCCATGATTCTGTTTACAAAAGTCAGTGTGACATTACCAACATGCAAAAAACAAAACAAAAAAAATCTGTTGCCATGTGACAGAAAAACCCTAAAACAGAGGACCCATTTAGACCCTCATGACTGTTTCAAGGTTTATTAAAATAAAATAAATGCATATTATTATTATTATTATACAGTATTATATGTTAAAAATTAATTATGTGTTTCTGAAAATACCCGTAATTTAAAAAGCAAGTTTTGTTCAGCTCAAATAGAGCAACCCTAAGAAATTATATTTGTAATATACCTTTATACTTGATGGTTACACTATTTGACTTTTTAGAGCCAAGATATTTGTAGAAAATCTACGAACGTTTGTTTTGTTTTTGTAATCAACAAATACAAAAATGACAAGAACGTGTTTTAAACTAGATCATCTCAATTTATCATTGGTTCATGTGTCAAACATTTGCCAGAGGTAAAAATAACTGAAATGCTCGAGTCAGCAACTGCAGTTTTTCTACAATTCAAATGAAGTAACATGTCCTTGAGCGCAATTTCTTGATTCACAAACATAAGTCAAGCCTTAGTTTAACCCATTCCACACCTGAAACGCCATATGCAGTCACAATTGAGCTTTTTATCAATGGATCCTTTATGTTACATGATAAATGGGTGTATTACCTATTGAGGAAAGCGTTTCCAAAGGCGTTGAGTTTTCGGAAAGGCTTTTTTGGATCCACAACCAGCGCATTGCCAGGTATCATGCCTTCCTGTTCGCCGTGCATAACCGCGATGAAGGAATCCGTCGTCGGCTCGGGGCCTATCCTCATCCCGGGGAAATCCTGCTCCATCAAATGCCTAATGAAGGTGGTCTTCCCGGTCGAGTACTGCCCCACCAGCAGCACCATGGGCTTGTTGTCAAAGTCAGCATCTTCTAAAGCCGGTGAATGGAAGTCGTGGAAATGATAGGTGTCCTCCAAAGGGAAGAGTTTGGTGCGGTAGAGGCGCTTCAGTCCCTCCGACACATTTTGGAAAAGTTCTGGGTCTTTCTTTCCTTCTCGTTTAGACCAGCTAAACATGATGGTCGTTTACGACGATTCTAATGCGAGAGGAAAAGGCTTCTGCTTTCAAATGTTGGCCACAAACCCAGGCAACGTCCTGTGACTGTCGAAAGTTTGACTGTCCCACCCCTGCACAGTCACCTCTAACGTTACGTAGCCTATTTTACGACTTGATCAAACCCCTGAACTATAATGCAACGGCAATATCAGAGATTGTTGCAACACTCCTCTATGAATGCACGTCGCTTAAAGTTGCAGTAATTCTTATATAATCAGATCTCAACTTTCTACTTGTATCTAATCCGACTGCGGTTTGCATGCGGAAATTTAAATACTTCATAATAAAAGCCTCGGTTTTGCAAACACAAACATTATTTTTTAACATGACGTAAATTATTCATGCTGGATTACCAAAAGTACTAATGTGAGGGAAGGTAGCATTGGAGCATGCATAAGAAATACATGTTTGAAGTGAAATAGCCAGATATGGAACATATAGGACCCCATTAAACACCAAAACTCTACGTGGCTCTGAGAAATGACGATTTTATTTCTGAACGTAGTTAATACGCATGTTTTCTATTTTTCTATTGGTCAGTATTGTTTTTCAATACTATTCTGTAAAACATGACAAAACAGATTCATTTTAAATAAAACGTAACAGTGTACAACATAATCATCCATATTTTCAAGGTAAAAATATTTAACTTTCCGGAACATCAAGACGTCGAGAATATCAAGGTGTCTTTCTTAGGGTTACACCATTTGACTTGCATGCTCCATTTCAGCATTTACACCACTAAGACATATTTAAGCCCCATTAAGGCATTAACACATTTTAATATTTAAAAAAAAAAAATCTTTAAAATATTGTGAAAATAAAAAAAATCAGAAATTTAAAACGATTATAATAGAAAAAATTGAAAGCTAAATGTGTAGGGCGCATTCTACAGAACACTGATTAGACAACAGTGTACTCTTGTGGACACCAGTGGTAATTACATGGTAAACAGACATCTGAGTTGAACAAAACAAACGGATGTAATGGAATCCTTGCTTTATCTCAACTAAAGGAACGATTTGCCGCGACAGCACTCACATTGAAACTTGTTTATTTATTGTTAAATAACACATATATCTAATTATTTCTAAATGCACAATTTTTTTTCATTTTTACAAACCATGTTTTTGTATGACCAGTGATGATGACGTAAAAGTTACATATTTGTAAAGGTATACAGATGCATTATACATTATAATATACAGTTCTACGTGCAGGATAAGGCATCCCATAGGCACAGCGCTTCCGTCACATGTGACTCTCTGCAGGTAACAGCTCCTCCACTGGCACTGCAATACACTTCCACATGGAGTGGCTGTTACACCCAGTGAGCACCAGGAGCAGCTCTCAACACTTCCAATGCTTGTCCAATGTCCAACTCATTTTATTCTGTTAAAGATAAGAGATCCATGGTTAGAAGAAGAAAAAAAACATTACCAATAAAACACCCTGCTTGTCTACAAATAGGCCTAGTCAAATGATTTGAAGGACAGAGAAAATATGCAGGTTTTGAATATGATGCTATTATTGCTATTTATTTAAACTGTAAATTTACCCCTTCATTTGCTACCCTATTTCTTATAAAAAGTCAAGGACTTTGACATATTGAACTTTACCCACCTTGACTAAAGATTAAAGTTAAAAAGTCGAATACAAATTAAGCAATCAACTCTTCTCTGTGTGCATTCTTACTTTGTTTAATACAATAAACATTAAAACATATTCTTTGTTGACTAGCTTACTACTATTCTGAAGTATTTAGAAATGTTCACCCAGAGTCATTTGGTTACATTGTTCCCAAAAACTAAACTGCACAAAGTATATACTATGCAAAGTTTACAAAGTTGCATAAATACTAAATAAAGTACTAATGATGATTGTTAAAAATACTCACCCGTGTATCAAAATGCAGAAACTCAGGTTGAAGCAGCATGATGATCTATTAAAGCACATGACAGGAAAAAGGGTGAAAGAGAAAAGAGAGTAAAGAGTAGCATGCTGATCTCTTGCCATTCAGAAGAATGCCCCAGAGTAAGAGTGTTGCCAGATTAATTATTATACATTCATCCAATAAGTAACAAGCTTATGAAGCCCTTCCCATACTGCACTGTTTGCACATCCATCTGGGTAACATGTCTTCACCTTAAACACCTTGCAGAGTGAAAATGGACCCTGGACACTTCTGATGGTTTTATTTGTCATGCATTGTCCTTAAAATGAAACTGTTACTTAAAGTTATGCAATTTCATGACATGTCATTTCAAAAGATATGGTTAATTGCAAATATATACGACTTTTTAGGTCTTTTCTTTGTAGTGAAATATAGTGGATTCAGGTTGATTGGGACATTTTTTCCCCAGCCATCTCAATGGAAGAAAGTGCCCCAGTTATGAATTTACCCTTATTATACGGTAATATATAACTACGATACACATAATAGTTGCTGGTGTTATCGTGCTTACATTTTATTGTGTCGTTTCACCCTTCTATAGTAGCTAATCATGTGGTAGTAGACCACACAGCACAGGTCTAGTCGCTCAGCAGCAGAGAAAGCGAATTGGTCGTTGCGGCTTTCCGTAGATAGATGTGTGGAAGCAACCCAGTGCTGACAACAAATGTAAGTAGCTGTAGAACGACGTGCAGGGCTAATTAACGATGAAATTAAGTAAAAAATATCGTTCCTGATATACAAAAGCGCTATTACTTTATAAAGAACATTCTTAAGCGTTCTCTAGAAGATACTAGTTATGCAAAAGAATAATTAGCTGTTGCTGGAGGCTGTTCAGTGTTAGCCTGCCAGCTAACTGAATTTGATAATGTATCTATCAGTATAAATATAGGCTGCTGCCACACTTATTTTAATTATTTTATCAGTCAGATTTGATTATGTAGTGATGATATGATCATGTCAGCCAGAAGAGTAGAGTCAGTTAATCTTGCTGTTTCGAGCTGCAATGATTTTAGTATCTACCCAACTGTATGGCTTTTTTTGTGAATAAAAATAAATGATAAAACATTTATAAAAAGCTTTTCTGAAAATGTCTCAAACTCTTTAACTCCAAGGAAGCTTTCTGTTTTATATTTATTCTGTTTATCTGTAAGGTGTCGTTATAATGCGTTAATAAACTTATTTTCAGCACAATGGCTGAGTGCACTACGTTAGACAGTCTGCTGGAAATGGGCTTTGACAGAAACAGAGCGTAAGTGATGCTTTTTCTACAGTGACACTGATGTTTACACACTGATCCAGTACTTTCCCTCACCCAGTGATTGTTTTGTAGGGAGAAGGCAGTAGCACATACTGAAAACCAGGGCATTGAGAGAGCAATGGACTGGCGAGTCATCATATTTCTTTTTTTTTTTTTAGGAAATTGCAACTCAATCTGATAGCCAGTGATCATTATGCATTTTTATTGTATGGAAAAGAACAATAATTGTGCCAATTAAATATATATTATTTAATTAACAAGAATTGTAATCAATTAAAAAAACGTTTTGGAAGTTGCATTTACAATTTCTATAACTGTACAGGTTAATGGAGCATGAGCCAGCTAACTGAATTTGATAATGTATCTATCAGTATAAATATAGGCTGCTGCCACACTTATTTTAATTATTTTATCAGTCAGATTTGATTATGTAGTGATGATATGATCATGTCAGCCAGAAGAGTAGAGTCAGTTAATCTTGCTGTTTCGAGCTGCAATGATTTTAGTATCTACCCAACTGTATGGCTTTTTTTGTGAATAAAAATAAATGATAAAACATTTATAAAAAGCTTTTCTGAAAATGTCTCAAACTCTTTAACTCCAAGGAAGCTTTCTGTTTTATATTTATTCTGTTTATCTGTAAGGTGTCGTTATAATGCGTTAATAAACTTATTTTCAGCACAATGGCTGAGTGCACTACGTTAGACAGTCTGCTGGAAATGGGCTTTGACAGAAACAGAGCGTAAGTGATGCTTTTTCTACAGTGACACTGATGTTTACACACTGATCCAGTACTTTCCCTCACCCAGTGATTGTTTTGTAGGGAGAAGGCAGTAGCACATACTGAAAACCAGGGCATTGAGAGAGCAATGGACTGGCGAGTCATCATATTTCTTTTTTTTTTTTTAGGAAATTGCAACTCAATCTGATAGCCAGTGATCATTATGCATTTTTATTGTATGGAAAAGAACAATAATTGTGCCAATTAAATATATAATGTTTAATTAACAAGAATTTTAATCAATTAAAAAAACGTTTTGGAAGTTGCGTTTACAATTTCTATAACTGTACAGGTTAATGGAGCATGAGAATGATCCAGATATAAATGAGCCTTATGTTCCACCTGCTGGAAATACTCTCGGCACCACAGAAGTACAGAGCCAGTCTCCTACAGAAACTTCTGAATGTATGTTCTTCTGATGCTCCTCACTTTCAATTTCATGGAAACATTATTGTCATCGTTTCATCACCCAACACAAAATGTTACTTTCTCTTTCATTTGTGTCTGTAACCAAAACAAAAAACAGCCACTGAAGTTGCTGAGCAAATGGGAGATGCCAAATCACCTATAACAGAAGAAGAAAGGATGGAACAAGTAAAACGGTTTGTGCTTTGTGCAGCTGACCTTAAAATGTATTACTGTAAAAAGCACATTTAAAAGCTGATAAATTATTGCTTTCCCCCCACAGACTGGAGGAGTTGATGAAGACGAGACAGGAGGAGAGGAGAGAGAGAGAGCGAAAGGAGGAAATAGAAAGAGAAAAGCAGAGAAGGAAACAGGGCCAAGAGCTGCTGCAGGTTAAACAGAAGCTTCAAGATGATGAGATGAAAAAGCTAGCGGATCAGCGCATGAGAGAGAAGATGGAGGACAGGCTTGCCAAGTAAGACGAACAGGGATGCAATGCCCGTTTAACTTTGATCAGGCACTTTCAGTAGTTTTCACTTGAATTCAATGGTTCTTATTCTTTTTACAGCATTTAGCCAATGCTTTTACTCAGAGCAACTTAAAAAAGCGAAATCATGCAATTTGTCAAAGAGCCAACAGTGGTCGTTGTAATAGCAGGTTTATTAGGCAACTAGATTGGGAAGCAAGCTAGAGAAGAGGAATGCAGAGAAGATTCTTCCGTTCTCTACCTGATAAAGTAATTTGCAGCTTGGCATAACTATAAAAATGCCAATGGAGTTATAAGACTTTTATTCATTTACATGACTTTTCCAGGTCTAGAAATTCTACTTTTAAAATTAAAAAGTTACAATTTATGAAAATAATTGGCTCTTTATATACACTGCTGCGGCTTTTGGAGGATTGAGGATGTGTGAGTGGATCACATGAAGCGGCACCCCAGACCTCCGTTTTTGAAGGGACTTAGTTGGGAGGGTAGTATTGATTGTACTGGTTCCACGGGTTCTGGTAGCTGCCATACCCTCCATACTGTTGCTGCTGAGACACAGGGACAATATTTGTATACAATACACATTTTAAATCAAGATGCATTGCGTTTAATCTTTTAAAGCTTTAATTGCCTCCTGCTGGGTAAATGCAGTGCTTTAACAATACAACGTAAATGTGCCATTCAATCCTTTACCTGGTACCAGCTGCCATAACTCCCATATGATCCGCTCATGTCTCCGCCCATCATAGAGGGAGGTGGTGTTGTCATGGGAACATGAGGCATTGTGGGTGGAGCCGTCTGTGGCACTGTCAAGGCAGATGCATCATCCATTTTGCTCATCTTTTCTGTCTCATCGTTATCGCTTTAGGAAAAACAAACGCACATTTAAAAGGCTTTCACAAAACGAAATGTCAAAAGGAGATCTCTGGGTTTGTTCTCATCTTGGGGCCCCTAGTCGAGAACCACTAGTAATAACCTGTGATCCTTTCTCAGGCAGCGAGTTAAAGAAAAGATTGCACGAGACAGAGAGGAGAGGGCACGAAAGGTATTAATTAATGCTTTTACTTTGCCCACTTCACATTATTACTAGTATCTTGTGTGCCTGCCTACTAGTATATCAAGTATATAAATAATAAATAATAAATAACAAAAACTCTGCAGTTTGGAGGCGGTTCATCAAGCACGGGTTTGTCATCTCCCCCCTCTGAAGCCCCTCTGCAGTCTCCACCTGAGAACCAAGGGGCTCCTCCTGCTAAGAAAGACTATGATGACTGTCGGATACAGGTAATGGCACAAAATCAAGCCACGTTTCACTCATAACACATTAGTCAGTGTCCAAGTAGACCTGAGGGTCCCAGGGTGATGTTGAATTAAATAGAAACCATTTTTAAGGCACTTTAATATTGAATGATTCCACAAATTCTGCGCGTCCTGAAGCGCTTGATCAGCGCCACAGCTCCCCTGACTACAATGTCCAGCAAAACATCAGAATAATCAAAAACCGGTGAAATATCGGGTGGTGTGTACTTCCGAATGTCCAGCAATTCGTCTCTGGTGAAACTGATTGCAGGGATATAACTAAAGACAGGACAAACTAACAAAAACATAAAAACAACTGCGGAGCACGCCACGGAGGCAGCCATCAGCGTCGGCGCCATCTTACTAACTTTTGAGCTCACCCATTCTCTGCTTGTCTCTTTGCATCATGTTCCTTCAGCAGTTTCTGGTGCTCCTCATACATGCTCAACACACTGACAATATACAAGACAAATGTTAAGGAACATTTAAGTAAACTCAGTAATAATAATACATTTGTAATGTAACATAATATACATGTTTTATCACTGAAGCTACCCAGAATGGTTTGAATTAATTCTGACCTCTGTACTGTGGTCCCAAAGTCCTCAGCAAATTGCAGGCCACGTTGGGAGAAAAGGATTTTGGTCTTTGGGGAGAGAGGAGCAGCAAGGGCTTTGGCCACACACTGCAGAATCCCACCTCCATTAGCCCGCAGGTCACCTGACATCTCCAGCTCCAGAAGGTTGTGATACAATCTACCGTTATCCTGAGGATCAGAATCCAAGAGTCATCAAATATTGGTTTTGTGGTGCATCATATTGTGATAATTTTCTGCAATACCACTTTGGGGCCGTTACGATTTTTTTTTTTTTTTGAAAGAAGTCTTTTATGTTCACCAAGACTGTACATTACTGTGTATTTGATAAAAAATACGGTAAAAACAATAATATTGTAAAATTGTCGCCTTGGAATTCTAAGGTTCTATCTGACATTTTTGTCAAAATTGAGTTATTCACATATTCTTATTCTGACACAACTTATTTACATTATGTGAGGTTTCTTGTGTAAGCTGTGTACATTTTGGGCCTTTTTTTAGAAAACAAAAAGGGTTTTATCTACAGAAGTCTATGGAATGCAAAAACCTTGAAGCTCAATATCTCAAAACTGCTTGGAATGCAGATAGAACTTTCTAATTCCAAGGTGGCGAAATGTTAGTAAAATATAAAATAACTGTTTTCTTTATATTTTTTATATTCCGTGATGGCGAAGCTGAATTTTCAGCAGCCATTACTCCAGTCTTCAGTGTCACATTATCCTTCAGAAATAATTTCTTCTCTTTATTATTAGTGGTGAAAACAGTTATGTTGACTGTTCCCTCTAAGCTGCACGCGTGCGGGGCCGCACAATTCTTACGTTGTGACTGTGCAGAAGAAATAATATGCTACGCACAGGACAGAGGCAAAAAATGTGTTGTAGTAGTGTGCCAACTCTACTACATGGGGATGTTTTAGGTAACTGTAAAATAATTCACATGTTCACGTTGTTTGAAATTATTTATTTAAAATATTTGTTTTTATATTATATTATATAAGCCTAATAAATAACTGACCTCAAAAAGGGAATTCATGAGCAATAACTGCTTCATTTTTTCATATTAGCTATATTATATTATATTATATTACATTATATTATTAAAGAATTTAACTGTTCTGCATGATTGTTCTGAATTATTTTTAATACAATTTCCTGGTAAGTAACAGCACTGTAAAAACTGTTTTTTCAAGTAACCTAAAATGTGCGTCATTTAGTTACATCAAGGGTCAAATCAAATATAAATAGCACATTAAAGTTAAACGTTACACACTTTTTTGGGTATGTGCTGTACAGGTCTGGTATGAAGAATGTATTTGCTCAGGTGGCCGAAATGTCTGCTCAATAGAGAGAAAAATTAGAGGGAACATTGGTTATGCTGCTTAATATTTTTGTGGAAACAGTGATTCTTTAATGAATAGAAAGTCCAAAAGAACTATTTATTTGAAATATAAATATTTTGTAACATTATAAATGTCTTTACAGTCACTTTTGCTCAATTTAATGCATATTTGCTGAATAAACGTATTCTTTTTTTTTTTTTTTTAATCTTACTGATGCCAAACTTTTGAATGGTAGTGTGTATAGAATGTCAAACGCTGGTGTTTTACCGGACTCAGCTCTATGGCTTCCTGTAGAACAGTGCGGGCCCTGGAAGGGCTCTTGCACAGCTTGTGAAGAAAGCGAGCCAGTTTGATGGAGTAGAAGGCATGGAGTTGGGGGTTGTCTTTACTCTTCTCCACCGTCTCCTTCAGCAGTGCCTCCGCCACATCCAAACGTCCTGCTCTCCGCTCCAGACCCACTCTTCTCAGACACACCGCGGCCAAACCGGGCACTGTCATCTCAAGTGATTCTAGAATACGCTGTGCCTCAGTAATATTACCTATGGGAGGGAAAAGAAATCATGTAATGTACACATTCTGCAGTAGCTGAAACAAATACACATTTCTATGAAGTATGTTTTAGATTTTAGGCTAGTCTATTTTTTCTATGCTAAACTTATTGTCTCACCATGTTTTTCCTCAAACAAGGCCCACTGAAGGTGGATGCTGTGTTTGTACGGAAGATGGATTTCACAAGCTCTGCGGTACACATTACGCACCTCCTCCAGCCTGTGTGGTGCCAGGTAATGCACATACTGTAACACACATAAATAGCTTACAAAATGCAACAAAAACGTCAACAATATTATAAAACAGATCATCATGATCTTTAATAACTGGTTGTTGGATCTCCCTTCTATACTTACTTTATTCCAGAATTCCTCATAAAGTGCACAAGCAATGAGACAGCGTTCAAACAGAATTAGTACTCTCTTGTGCCCAACTACACACTCTTGTTTTGAGCCTTCATGGCCTTCCACAGCCGCCCCTTCAGCATCCACTGCTGCTGTTTCAGCTTCTGCAATCTCCCAATCCAGATAGCTCTGCCAGGCTTTCAGCTGGGCTTTATCCAGAGGCTTCACATGGAAATAAGGCCTTTTAATCTAGGAAAAAAGGAAAGAAGGAATCAAGCAACAGGAAGGTGAATTGACAGAAACACTTCATACACAACCCATAAACAGTTCAAGTTTGGGTCAGCAAGATTTTTTGATATTTTTGAAAGTCTCTTTATTCAATTACAATTATTACAATTTTAAATCGCAGTTTTTATTTTAAGAGCATAATATTTTAGTGGAAAATGTTTTTTTTTACAGCAATCTATTCATCTATTTGATAGAAAGGTCAAAAGAACCACATTTATTTGAAATATAATTTTTGTAATAATGTAAATGATCAATTTAATGCATACTTGCTGAATAAGAGTATTCATTTCTTTCCCCAAAAAAATGTATATACGACATCATCAGCCAAATCTGGTGGGTCAGTTATTTATTTTTATAGATAACATCAGTGTTTCCTCAACCTCTATGAAGCATCTTTCTGAGAAACTTACAGCATCTTCAAAGTTCCATCTCTTCCTGACTTCTGCTTCATTTTGTTGGTACAATTCCTCTCTGCTGGCCATTAGGAGCTCCTGCATCTTCTGCACTGCTTCTTCCTGTATAAAAACATGTTAAAGATTGAAACGATAATCTCTAGAGTGTCACATCAATTGAAGAAAACCTTCTATTACAGATGAAAAAGTGAGTTACCGTGTCCTTGCCATTGTCTGCAGGCTCTTCCTCCCCAGGCGGTCTCTCTTCTTCTTCAGCACTGATATCAGATCTCTCTTTTTTGGCTTGAATCTGGCTCTGTTTGTACTCATTCCTCACCTTTCTGTACTCCTTAGTGGACAGGACGTCCTGAGGCGGGTGGGAGGTTAGGTGAGCTTTCAGTCTGACAGAAGAGACAGAAATTCAGAGAACATCAGCCTTGTTCAATGTAAGAGTCATCATGATTTTTATGGACTCTGAAAGCAAAATAATTTTTGTGATATTTTGGTGATCTGGATTTGATGTGCTTAACTGCAGGTGTTTGACAGTTTACCAATTAGGCTTTTGTTGATGCATTCAGCTGCATCTAAATATAAAGGGGGAAAGAGATCACAGAATATGAGCGTGAGAAGAAATGGTAACAAATTCTCACAAATCCATGCGTGTGTGTGTGTGGTATGTGGATTATGTGCCTCAAATCTGAGGAGTTGTGCGAGGAAAAAAAATATGTTAACACATATAACATATGATCTATGAGTATAGCGTACTTTTCATAATGTGTGTTGTAGAGCTGTGTGGGGACCCTCAGTACTCGGTCGTAGACGCTGGTAATGAAATTCAGGTTGCCCTGCTCCTTCTCCCACTCGGCATACAGATCCCACAGCCTGTCTGAATGGAAGTCCCAGCCAGCGGCTGCAACTGCCTCCTCAAACACACTGAGCAAAGGACAGGACATTACTTTTCATGTTATATTGTTTCTTGAAATGTTTTATTGCTGTAAAGAATAATGTTTCAAGTTACCATGAAATCAAAATGGATTTTTTTTTAAAGATAAGTTTTAACGAAAGTCTGGAATACACTCACAACTTTTCAAATCTGAACAGATTTTAAAGGGGTCATATGATGCTTTTTTAAAGATCACACACGCACACACATGATGCGCAAAACTCCGCATTTGAACAGTCAATAGCAAATACAAAACAGTAGCTGATTCAGAAGCGCCAGATTGTCAGAATTACCTCCTCTCCTAGGTTCATGAAACGGTCGTCCATAAAATGCAT